CCCTTTCGCGCCGGCCGCCGGGGCCGCCACCAGCGCCGCCGCCGAGCCCGAGGGCCCCGGGGCCAGCTGCGCGGCCGCCGCCAAGGCGCCAGTGAAGAAGAACGCGAAGGTGGCCAGCGTGAGTGTGCAGCTGGAGATGAAGGCGCTGTGGGACGAGTTCAATCAGCTGGGCACCGAGATGATCGTCACCAAGGCCGGCAGGTCAGGGTGCCCCCCCTCACTGCCCGCGACCCTCCCCACGTGGCCCCGGTCTCGGGCAGCGCGCCTCGGCCCGATCCACGCGAGTGGGACCGAGAAGCGGGGTGGGGGCGCGGCCCCGCCACCTGCGGACCCTCTAGGCGCGGGCCGGCTCTGGGTTCTCTGCGGTCCCGGCTCCAGCGACAGCCGCCTGTCGCGCCGGGCGGGCCTCGGGGACGGCGCGGGCAGCTTCAGAAGGCCGGTGGAGAGAAGCGCGGCGGACCGGCTCGCCCCTCCCGCAGCCCCACCGCGCTCGCCGCCGGAAGCCCGGGCCGGCTCGGAGCACACCGGGCTAAGGGTTAGGCAGCTGCCCCTGAGCGGCCTCGCCAACCAGCCGGCTTCCAGTGGATCCCACCTCAAAGGAAATTCACGTCTTTAGTTCCCCAGTTCAGTCTATACGGGTTAGATAGAGACGGGCAGCTGGACAATTCTCTGGAAAATTTTAGGAGAAAGTTAAGACCCTTAAAAACAGTATGGTCTCTTCCGTGGAAGTTGCTCCCCGGTTTCCTTGGGCCTAAATTTCAGGTGATCGTGGGGCCTGGCTGTGCTGCTGAGGCCCGCCGCCTTCCAATTGGCCTGTATTTGTTTTAAGGGCCCAGAGAGAAGGGGAACAAGTTTTGCGAAGCAACCGATTTGACCAGCAGACAAAGGCGGGTGCCGGGCTGTGTCTAATGTACACACGGAGACACCAGCTCTTCAACCATACAGCCAAGGGGAGCTCAGGGCCTGTTTGCAGAGCCTTCTCGCGGTTTCTGTTTCCCTGCCACGGCTGTCCTCCCTGGGGATCCTGGGGCCTGTGCTCAGCTTCAGCTCTGTGGGGCTTCTGTAGCCTCTCCTTACTGTCCCCTGAGGACGGCACCCCAGCCTCTGGCCCAGCCCAGCCCAGCAAGGGCCTTGGCCGGGGCCACGCTTCATCCCAGAAGCCAGCATTCTGTAGCACCCACCAGCCCTGCAGAGGTGGGGGTGGCAGGCCTGATCAGGAGGCCCAGCTCCATGGCATCTGTTTTCTGCCCACTGCCTGCACGGAGTTGCCTATGAGGGGAAGCCATAGGATGGGCAGGTGGGAGCGAAGCCTCATGCTGTCCTCCAGGGCCCAGTGGCTGGCACTACTGTGCCGTCAGGACAGGGCCGGCCCATGGCCGGCCGCTCCTCCAGGAGCTGCAGAATGTCTTTTCAAGTGCCTGGATGGGTCATAGAGTCAGAGTCCAGGGGAGGGGAGAGTTCGCTGACCATGAGGGCACAAGCCAAGTTCTCCCAGAGTAGCTGAGTCTGGGGGTTGGGGGGTTATGGTGGTGGGTGGGAACTTGTGTGTGTCCCTGAGGAAGGTGGGGAAGACTCCACCATTGGGCCGGAGACAGAGCCTGAGAGTCGGGGCTGTGGGCTCTGAGGCCTCAGCGTCGCTGCAGGGATTGGGGAGCAGCCTCGGACCCAGCTGAAAGGGCAACTGGGACTCCTGGGAACCACGCAGGGTGGCCTGGTTTCACTTTGTTCGAGCCGGGAGTTTACATCCGTCGCTCAGAGAGAGCTGGGGGAGGCTCAGTGGAGGGCTGAGAATCTCTGGGACCGCGTCTGGGGAGTCTTGCCGATCGGGTGCTGCCGGCTGACTAGCTCTGCACTGGACAGCCGAGAATTAGCAAAGCCTAGCTAGGCTGGCTCTGTGCGGGCAAATGTGTTAGGAGAAGCCAGCGACTACACTGGGACGCAGAGGCTCAGCTCTAGTGCTTAGTGAGCCATTTTGGGGTTTCAAAAAGGGGAGCAGGGGACTGCCCTGCCACCCCACTTGCCCTTGGCTGGGCAGGGGCCTTGTTGGGTTAGAGTGGCCAAGGGAGAGGAGAGGAGGTGGAGGGGCCAGGCCGCTGAACGCAGGAGCCAGCAGGAAGCCTACCCGTCCCGGGTTGGTCAAGGTGGGGCAGCCCTGCCTTCCCTCCCCCGAGGTGACCAGAGGCCCCCCCGCCCCCAGGCGCATGTTCCCCACTTTTCAAGTGAAGCTCTTCGGCATGGACCCCATGGCCGACTACATGCTCCTCATGGACTTCGTTCCAGTGGACGACAAGCGCTACCGGTGAGCGCCCAGCAGGACCTGGGAGGGGGCCCTGGGAAGCGGCTGGTCCATGCCTGGTGATACCTCTGAGGGCAGCCCATGAGAACATTAGCGACCAGGGGTCCCGGCACCTGCCCCCACTGCCCCGCCAACTCCCCTTGACCTGCTCCCTCCCCAACCCTGTCAGACCCTAGACCCACACACCCCACCCCCAGCGGTTCTTGGGTACTCCCCTCAGGAGGTCACACTGCCTGGGCCCCTCCACCAGCTGTAGGCCCGAGACAGCTCCCACGCCCCTGGGCCAGCTTGGCCTGAGGCAGACAGGCCCCTCGCACACAGCCCTTGCCTTTTTTTCTCATCTCCTTCTCCCACGAGGTGAGCGTGGGCACCTTGTCCCCTTCCCCCATTCCCCGGGAATGCTGGGCCCTGGAGCCGAGCAGGAAAGGTGGGGTGGCGGGGAGAGATTAAGCAGGGCGGGCCTCAGCTGCCCCGACAATTAACAGCAATTAATAAAGAGAACGTGGTCCGCCCTGTGCCTGAGGCCGCTGGCGCTGCCAAAGCCGGGCCATAGGCCCGGCAACTTGGAGACCGGTGGTGGGGAGGCCCAGAGCGGGCAGACCCGCATGCAGCGAAATGTGGAAATGTGGCGCTGGGAGCCCAGCCTCCTCCCTTGGTGCTGGGCTTCCTGCTGTCTTGTGTATTGGGACGGGGCGCGTTTTTGGTTTTCTTCACGATCGCCCTCGGAAATGCTCCCAGTCTGTGTGGCAGCCGGAGGCTCAATTTCACCGATGATGGGGAAACTCATCAGAGGCAACTTTGGGGTTCACTCAGCAAGGCCCTCCCGGTTCACCCCACACGGCATGACCCCTGTTCCGGTGCTGCCCCAGGTACGCCTTCCACAGCTCCTCCTGGCTGGTGGCCGGGAAGGCGGACCCTGCCACACCAGGCCGTGTCCACTACCACCCTGACTCGCCTGCCAAAGGTGCACAGTGGATGAAGCAAATTGTGTCCTTCGACAAGCTCAAACTGACCAACAACCTGCTGGATGACAACGGCCATGTGAGCGATCCCCGCACCTCCCCAGGCTACGTCGCTATCCCCGGTGCGGGCCCTCCAGAGTCCCTGTTGACCAGAGCCAGAGGCAGAGAGCTTGGGCAGCTCGGGGTGTGAATAAGGGACAGGCTGAGGAGAGTAGGCCCCTCTGGGTCAGGGGCTCACAGGGCCTGGTGGCCCTCAGGCCTGGGAGAGGGTGTCCCCTTGCTTCCCGTGCTCCACTCCTGATCTTTTGCTGGAGATTTTTTAACTGGAAAGGATGGGGCCATATGGGGGGGGGAGTAGCCCCCGGCAGGAGGCTTTGCAGAATCGAGGGGGGTGATGCCGCTTTCCTGCTGGGCTGAGCTCTGGCCTGCAGCCACCTACCAACCGCCCCCCCCCCGCCACCGTAGGCCCAAAGTAGTTCTCTGGGACCTACAGAAAGAGGATTGAAACCCTGATCTTTTGCCATTTGGAGTGTCTTTCCTGGTGGTCCCCAGTTGATTGCAGTCTGTGCTTGAGCCCCATGGTAGACCTCATTTCAGGAGTTCAGAGTTTTGTCCAAGTTCTCTGGGGAGTTCACTGCCTATCTGGACCTTGGCCCATTTCCTAGTTCCAAACTTGCCACCTTGTCTTCCAGATTATTCTCAACTCCATGCACAGATACCAGCCCCGCTTCCACGTTGTTTATGTGGACCCACGCAAAGATAGTGAGAAATATGCTGAGGAGAACTTTAAAACCTTTGTGTTTGAGGAGACTCGCTTCACTGCGGTCACTGCCTACCAGAACCACCGGGTGAGGCCCTGGGGATGGGCAAATTCAATATTTCTAGGTTGCAATTTCCAGTTGCTGCCTGGGGGACAGAGGTTTGGACCCAAAGGTTGTGGGTTCTGGTGGAACCCAACACCAATGGAGTCCCACCCCTAAGGGCCTCAAGCAGCCTCCTCCCCTCTGCTGCAGGCTGGCCCAGCCTCCTATCAGGTTGACCTCTTTAGCAGCAACTGTCAGTGCGGCCTGAAAGTTTGTTTTCCAAACCATTCCGGAAACTCCCCATCAGGGGCCTGATCCACGGTTTACCCAAATTCCTAGGGCATCCCCCCACCACACACACACCCTGCGGGGTGGGCGGTGGAGGTGACCACATTCCCATCCCAGCCATGGACACAGGTCTCCATCCTAATCACTTGGGGCCACAAAGGGGTTCCTTAGCAAGAAAGGAGCTTCCCCTTTGGCAGGAGAGAGGGACAACCTCAGTGAGGGAGTTAACTGTGGGAAGGTTCTTGTCCCGGAAGAGTAAAAGGGCCCTTATGGAGGAGCTCCTCCAAACTACCCTACCTCGGTGCTCCCACCCCCAGTGCAGGGGCTCCAGCCACTTGCTCAATGCCCGCCGCCTCCCCCCCCCCCCCCCCCCCCCCCGGCCCGCAGATCACGCAGCTCAAGATCGCCAGCAACCCCTTCGCCAAAGGCTTCCGAGATTGCGATCCGGAGGACTGGTGAGTGTCCTCTGAGGAGATGGCGACTGCTCCGGAGCCCAGCGGGGGCGCCCCCCTGACCCGCTGCCCTCCTCCCTTCCCGCAGGCCCCGGAACCATCGGCCCGGCGCGCTGCCGCTTATGAGCGCCTTCGCGCGCTCGCGGAACCCCGTGGCCTCCCCCACGCAGCCCAACGGCGCAGAGAAAGGTAGGACCTGGGTCGTGGGATCCCGGCCGTGGCCCTGCGCGCACTCCGCCCCGGGCAGACGGCCGAGCCTGGCCTCGCCCGAGCCCCAGGGGCGCTCGCGGCCTTCGCGCCGCTTGCACAACGGCCGTGGCGGCGGGCAAGCGCGCACTCGCCCGCCCGGCCCGACGGCTGCGCCCCGCCCGCCCGCCCCGCCTGCCGCCCGCGGAGGGGCGCGAGGCCCGTGGGGAGACCGGGGTCTCCCGCAGGTTCGGCGAGAAGGGGTGGGGAGCGCCCGAGTGTGGGCTGGCGCCCCCTCCCCGCCAGGAGCGGCGGGGCGCTCGCGGGTCCCCTCTGCTGTCTTGACCCGGCGCGCTCACCCCTCGGCCCTCCCCGCAGACATGGCCGAGGCTCGACGAGAATTCGAGCGCGACGCGGGCGGACCGGCCGTGCTCGGGGACCCGGCGCACCCGCCGCAGCTGCTGGCACGGGTGCTGAGCCCCGCACTGCCCGGGGCCGGCGGCGCCGGCGGCCTCGTCCCGCTGCCCGGTGCGTCCGGAGGCCGGCCCAGCCCTCCGCACCCTGAGCTGCGCCTGGAGGCGCCCGGCGCGTCGGAACCGCTGCACCACCACCCCTACAAGTACCCGGCCGCCGCCTACGACCATTACCTCGGGGCCAAGAGCCGGCCGGCGCCCTACCCGCTGCCCGGCCTGCGCGGCCACGGCTACCACGCGCACACGCACGCGCACCCGCACCACCACCATCCCGCTGTGAGCCCGGCAGCCGCCGCTGCCGCCGCCGCCGCCGCCGCCGCCGCCGCAGCCGCCAACATGTACTCGTCGGCCGGGGCCCCGCCTCCCGGCTCCTACGACTACTGCCCCAGATAATGCCGGCCCTCCCCCCCGGCTGCTTCCCCGCCCGGGGTCCCCGCACAGCCCCAAGGGCCGTCGGGGTCCCCGTCCACCCAGCCCCAAGGGCCGTCCAAGAACATGTTCCTCCAGCCCCGGGGGCCAGTGCGGGTCTCCCCTTCCCCAGCCTCGAAGCCATCGGGGTCCTCCACCGTCCAGCCCCGAGGCTGTCGAAGTATCTGGTTCCCCAGTCCCGGGAGCCACCGCGGGTCCCTCCCCAGCCCGGAGGGCCACGGGGTCCGCGCCCGCCAGTGCCAAAGCGCCCGGTCAGCGGCGGAAGGAAGTGGTATTTATTGTTCTCCGCGAGACCGCGTCGCCCCCTCCCACCCCCACCCCCGGCCCGGCCGGCAGTTGCAGTGTAGACGACCCGAGAGCCCGTCTGCAGGCGGTGTAGATACGTGTAGATATTTGTAGATACTGTAGATACCGCGCCGGCGCCGACTTGATAAAGGTTTCGCCTCTTTTGGAAGTTGCCTGCGTGTCCATTTATTTGTGTCCAGTTAGATCGCACGGGGCATGTCGGGGAAAGCGTGTCCGGTCGACTCGGGGACTTCGGGGTCTCCCCAGCTCCAGTCCCCACAAGCCGCAGCGAAGCGGGTGTCCCTACAGTGCCCTCCGAACGCCTCCTCCCGGCCACGCCCCTCTCCGTCCTCTCCCCGCCCCCTCCGCCGTGGCCCCATCCGGGTTCGCTCCCAGGGTCTCCTCCAGGCCCTGCCCGGCCGCTCCCCGCCCCCACTTCCACCTTGCAGCTTCATCCCCTCCTCCCCAAGGCTGAGCTTACGGGGGTGGTGGGGGCCGCCCCAGCCCCAGGTGTGCCTAGGGCCCTTTGACTTAACTCAGGCAGGCAGTTGTCCCTCTTCTAGAATTTAGGCGGGCAGCCCTGGCCTGTTTTCAGGGCCAGTGCCTGTCCTGGGTGCTTTTCCACGGAAGCTGGAAATAACCATCACGCCAGAACACTGTCAGTTGGGGGCTGGGAAGGGGAGAAGCTCAGACTCTGATCGTAGAAAGACAAAAACAGGCAGTTCTGCTGTTCTAGCATTTCCCCTGGCTGGCCCTAGCCCAGGCCGGCGTTTTCCCCTGTTTATTGACTTTGTTCCCTGTGAATGTCCCCACGGAGTGACCTGGGCAGGGGGCACAATGACAGTGGTCATGAGTCATCTTGAAACCTGTCTGTGAAGCATTTTTCCCAGGCCAGGTGGTGAGGGACCTCTCCCCATTAACTCAACACCAGGGATGGGGCCAGAGGAACCCTTTGATCCCTCCCTTCCTGAATCCAGGCAGGAAAAGCTGACAACCGGTCAACGTCAAGGCTGCTAACTTGGACTCAAGATGGACGGGAAATGCAAATGGCTGAGGTTCTATCCCCCTTCTGTGTCTGTCCCAGTATGTTCCTGGCAGTCACTGCCACATGGCAGGGGCAACCCGGTGCCACCTCTCCCCAGCAGAGCCAGGCATTTCCCAGTGTCTGTCCTAGACCGGACACTTTCTTCCTGGATGTGTTCACCCTGGTGGCATGAGGTAACCAAAGGCTTAAAAATTGGACAGCAGGAAGCGTTTCCATGAGGCAGGTCTATGAAGGGAGGGCGTGACTGAGCTGCTGAGGGGTGAGCTCTGGAGCCCGGGTCCGCCAAAGCTTCAAAGTTCATCTCGTGCCAGGGCGTGAAGACTTGAAGTATCTGCTTGAGTGGCCAGGGGGCTCTGTGGACACAGCTTCAGGGACTCATAGGGGCAGCTCTGGACATCCATCCCCGATGGGCGTCCTACTACCCCTCACAGCGGACCTCCCTCTGGGTGAGCTGCATGCAACATCGGGCTCCCCCCTCGTGCAGCCTGTTTCCCGTCTGTACCACAAATGCACCCTGCATTCTTGTCCTGGGAGGCCTGCAGGAATGATGGGCTGTGGCCTGCAGGGCTAGTCTCTCCTTCAGGTGCTGGGCACCCCTCCCAGGCCCACTATGATTCTGAGGCCGCGCTCTTCCTCTGCACACTTTACACTCAGGCCATGGTGAGGGTCAGGGGTTGAGAACCACAGTTGGAAAGATCTCTGTTTTGGTTTTGTTTAAAGCTAAAGTGAGCGGAAGCTCCCCTCTGAACCCGCGAAGGTGCTGGGAGGATGCAGCTGAGCGCCTGGGTCTCTGGTGTGCAGCCGGCCAGCCTCCTGCTTGTGCGCCCACTCCCATAATCATCACCCACTCAAGATGGAAAGCTGCTGCGGTCCAACACGGTGACTGCTAGCCATGGCCGGCCGCTTACCTGTTAATGAACAAAAGAAGAATAAAACGAAACATTCAGTTCCTCCCCGGCTGCATTCTGAGTGCTGGACAGCACAGGGGCGGCAGGTCAGCTCGCTGGACGCTGCAGATGAGGGCGGCCCTGCACTGGGGAACAGCCCCCCAAAGGCATGGTTTTCTCCCCTCTGCTCCCATAGTTGAGTTTGCCTTCCTTAAGAACTTCTCACAAATGGGATCATGCAACAGGGCGCCCCGGCTGGCTGCTTTCTGCTCCGGGGTGTTGCAAGCCTGGCCCACACTGCCGCCCACCCAGCAGTTCTTCTTGCTGACCAGCGTCAAGTCTCCGGCGAAGGACACTGCCAGAGCTGTCGCCACTACCTGCTATGTGAGGCTGACATTCCCATGGGCAGCTACCCCAGACAGTCCCTGACTTCCCTGTAAAGCCACTATCCTGGCAGCTTCCATGTCCCTCGCTTTGGGCACCTCTATGGACACACCCGGCCTGCCCCTTCCATGAGCCGCCGTGCTGCACTGTGTGGGGGCTCGGGGACCCTCTGACCCACTTCCTCAGGGGCTCACCCCTCAGTGACTTCCTCTGGGGTCCTCCGTTGGCCCAGAGGTCCCATTCTGCTCCCTTCACCTGTCTCCAGGTGTCCCGTTGCTAGGACTCAGGAGGACGAGAGCCTGGATTAGAAGGGACCTGGGAGATCGGGTCCGGGGACCCCAGACTCCTCAATCCTCGACGCCCTTCAAAAAACAATGGATGCCCAATGAGTGAAACAGGTTCATTCTTGACTAAGTAGAGGAGGGGTGGGGTCTGTCTACTCCCCTCTTCACCCCTCTGGGTCCCACATAAGGGGCCTAGGGAACCCAAGGACCCTGGGGTGCGGTGGCACAACCCACCCTCCCCCCAGGAGCCCAGCTTGCTGTTCTGAGAGGAGAAAGACCAGACCAGAGCCACAGGCAGGGCCTGCTGTGCCGCCTTCCTTGGGCGCTGGAGCCTCTGTCTTTGACATAAATCCTCCAGCTCCTAGGAAGGCTTGGGAAACGCTGCCCCGAGTGTGGGCTACCCCAACATCTAGGTATTCCAAAAGCCCAAGACTTAAGGACTCTAACAAACCCACCGCCCACAGGGTCTCATCCGCAGGCTCACGGCAGGGGCAGGGATGCTCTGGAATGGGACCCCCGCCTCCCGCCCGTGCTGCCACTAAGTAAAGTTGGCAACACCACATGGCTTTCCTGAGACCAAGAGAAAGTGCCTCAGACAAGCACGTTGGGCACAGGCGGCTGTGGGCACAGGTCCCTGATGACAAACCTCCTGGAGGGGCTGGTGACACAGTCTCCACCACAGGGAAGCATTTGGGGGGGCAGAGCAGTACACTGAGATTCTGCCATGGGATGAGGGGAGTCTGTTTGGTGGCACCTCAAGCCTGGAGTTGCAGAGGAGGAGGAAACCTGGTGTGTGGGGGGGGCTTCAGCCACCCCTTTCCCTCTGGCAGGGGAAGTCCGCAGTGTGTGGGACCCGTATGATGATGGGTGGGTGAGTGCGAAGCACCGATCTCCAGGTGTGCTGCAGATCAAAGCATCCACGCACTAGAGAATTCCATGGGGCCACAGCTGTTGGGGGGGCGGGGCGGCGCACAGAGCCCAGGGAGCCCTGTGCAGGCAGACAGAGGGAGGGTGGGGGCCTCAGGAGCTTCTTCTAAGACAAAAGGAACGATTCCAGTGGCAGCAGGAGCGTGGCTCACCTGGAGTTGGGTGTGAGGGAGAGCACACCTCCTGGGTGCCACAGGCCCTGTGCCTCAGTTTCCCCTTAATGCTGGGTGCTGACCCCGGCCCTATGGGAGCGGTGTGAGTCGTGGAGGCCCTTGTGAGCAGCGGGGACCATCCTCTCCTCCTCGGTATGGGTTCCAATGAGGCCTTGCACAAACCTGATCCCCACATGCCTCCCTCACCCACAAGGCCGCCTCTGTACTGTGACATGGGCACAGCCGGGGAGCTGGGGCAGGGCGGGGGGGGGGGCAACGACATGACATGGCCCCACATGCCACCCGGCCCTGGGAGGGGAGGCTGGAGTTGTTTCCTGGTCTACCCCACACATTTTCTGTATTTAAAAAAAACCACACAAATCTTGCCTTTGATTCAATTCCCTTCCCTGCTTGTTGTACTACTTCAAACCAGATGGGTTCACAAGATGAGACTTTGCAGTCTCGGCGCCTCTACTTAACTGCTGCCAGGGTCTGTGTGTGGGGAACAGCAGAACCAAAGGTGTTTTGTGAAAAGCTGCCCCCGTGGGGGAGAAGCTTAGGTCTTAATAGCAGTAATTAAGTTATCTTCTTAATTATAAAGAGGAACGGCATTGCTGACATCCTTTATCAGCTTTCAGTTGCATCCAGTCAGTGTCTAATCCTCTGCTTCCAGCGGCCGCACCCCCCCCCCCCCCCCCCCCGCCGTGTCTTCCCCTGGGCTCACAGAGCAGCCCGGCCCAGCTCTGGCCACCAACACCTGCACTGGGGACACGTGACGGTCTGGGGCCCCCACCAAGGAAAAGGCCTTCCGATCAGATTGTGACCCCCCCTTCGACGGAAACACATCCTGACTTCGGAGATGCTGGTGTTTCCGTCCAAGGGCACCTTCCACCTCGTGGTAAGGTAGACTTGAGTCACCAGCTGGAATGCAGGCCCCTCCCTGTGTCCTCTGAGGCTGCCTACCTGGCCAGCCCCGCAGGGTCTGCAGGTGGGGCCCAGA